GTAATGAAGAAGTGGTGGTATTGGAGGGCATCGGAAGTATTGGCGCAACCATTGTGTCCGTGAGAAGAGGCAAGAGTTCAGTCACTGTTACCAATGCCTATGGTTTGGGTGCCGGCGCTGTCCTCGATATCACTGCCGAGAGGAATGGTATCCAAAGACAAGTGGATGAGAGCCAGAGATTGAAACAATTGACTCAACCTTTATATGACAAATGTATGGTTAATATGAGTGGAAAACCTGTTAATGAATGACTTGATTAAGAAATGTTTGATTTGTTTGAAAACAGACGTGAAATCAGTTGAGGAGAAGAAATCGAGCGAAGAAGACATTGTGGTTGTCATCGAAGGCGGGAAAGCGGGGGAAGAGGTGATCGCTACCAAAGAGGGTTATCTCACGGCTAAAGGCGCCGTCGGATTCAAATTGGGATCAATTACCTCTATAACAAAAAGCCAATAATTATTTTAATTAATTATTTATTTAATAGTTGAATTTTTTAATTACTTTTGTAATTATAATGACATTATTTAATGTAAAATAAACCAAAATTTTGCAAAATAAATTATTACAACATTAATTTAATTAATCACATTTATTTGCATAGAATTTATTTTCATTTTGTAGATTAAATAAATATAAAATAAAACAAAAATCTTTGAATATATTTAATATTGTTTTTAAACAAATAATTTATACGAAAACTCATATGAATTGAAAGAAATCATTGAAACTATGAACTCAAAAGAAATATAAAATAAAATTTTTGTTTACAAAAAACTTTTATCAAATCAATTGTTTCACTCCTTTTCGTCTTTCTTATGGTCCGCCTCTTTGTCAGGTGTCTCCTCATGTGTGGGACTATCGTCATCGTTGCGGAACAGTATCTTCGCGGGTGAATCTGATCCCTGTCCCCCTACCCGTTCTAATAGGCTTTTCTCATCATTCTTTGCCTCATCAGACCCTTTACTATCGCTTTCCGACCCTTTATTTGTCGGCCCTTTACTCTCGTCCTCTTTCTTATCATTAGTATCTTCATTGCCTTTCGTGTGAATTTCTTTGGCTACCAGTGCCGACTCCTTACCATCATTTATCTTCTTTTCCACCGGTTCCTCCTCCGTTTCATCACTTGATTCATGTGCTCCCCATTTTGGCTTCATATCCTTGGCCGCAACTGCCGGAGCTTTTGTTGTCTCATGTTTGGCCACAATTGCCGGTGCTTTTGAGGCCTCATTTTTAGCCGCTTTTCATATAAATACATATTTATTACACATTTTATTCGCATATATCATGAGTTTTAATCCAATTTACCGTTGATTTTGCTTTCCTCTAGACTTTCGCTTTTGTTTATATCACAAAAGTTTTTGACTCCCCTTTAGAGGCAAATGAAGTTAAGACTAATTATAGATTCAGTAAACTAATGGTTTAAATACCAAATAAGACCGAAGACCACGAATACAACAAATATGACGGCGATTGCAATGACCGGCCAAACGGACGCAATGTTTGATGGCTTTTCGGACGGTCTCGTAGTGGGAGGAGCTGTGGTTGTCGTCGTAGTTGTGGTCGTTGTCGTCGTTGTCGTTATATTTGGATCCAATTGATTGTTGTCTTCACTTCCATTACTTTCCGGACCCGTATTGTTATCATTAGAGTTGTTGTTGTTATCAACCAATGTATCCACGGATTGGTTAGCATTTGGGTCAATAGCTTCTCCCTGTTCTGGCTGTTGAAGGATGGCATCCGAGTCTTCACTCGGTGTCGGTGTCGGTACCGACGACTCATGCATTGCCTCGATGTCCACATCGATGCCATCATCACCGGTCACCCTATCAATGGGTACTTCTTCGAGAGTATAGTCACCGAAATCTTGAATTTTTCGCTCAACTCTGACGGATGAGACACTTCTGACATTAAATGCGACCAAAATTATTACGATTACTATTAGATGTTTGGCTGCAAAAGACATCTTTACTATGAGATCATTTGTGTCACAATATATTGTCTTTGAAATTCAATTTTATGTTTTTAAAATTATAACTCAATTTATGTTTTGATTTCTAATTTAAACAATTAGTCAAACGACCGTCGATTACGAGAAGTTTTCAAGTTTTATTGTTAGACTTTATATGTTAGCAATTGTTCTCAGATTCCTTGCTATAAATGTTTTAAAAAGTTTTATTTTTTCAGAGAAAAGTTTATTTAACCCTAAGATAATAGAAAGTTTGTATAAAATCTGAATACGAATAGAGTTATTATGACAGAGAGCACAGGGAGGCTGTGAAGCGCATGCCTTTCCACGATATATCGCATATTAT